TTTCCCCCCCCCCCCCCCCCCAGATTTCTTGCAAAAATCCGTTTGGTCTTTTCTTCAGGGGAGGCTCAAGATTATTGCAGGCTTTATTAGCATCCTTCGCATGTTCCTCTCTCATCCATAAGAAAATATTTTCTCTAATAATACCTGCCGCTATTGGGGTTGTGTTCTCTGCTTTATTGGGCAGAGTCTCTGGTTTATTCTCTGCTTAACTAAACAGTTTTATTTTTTCTTTCCTCCTGCTTCTTTTTTTCCCTTCTGCAACCTTAACTTTTTGACATGGCCTCAAGATATCTTTAACCGCGGTGGGTGGAAATCTGTAATTCTGCCATAGTCTTGTTATTGTTTTGTTCTGATTCTCTGATAGCCACAAGGACAGAGCACAGCTTGCCTCTGCAGGAAATAAATATTGACAGATTAATTCCCCTCAGATGTATGAGCCATAGAGAAGTATTGTTTTAGGGCCCTATCCTTGGAGGTGCTTGGACCCCTCAAGAATTGCTGATGCCTGGGTCAGGTGCTGAAAGCACTTACTGCTTTGAAGGACCAAGATAGGACCTGTAATGAGGGTGATTATAGTGGAACAGGTTAAGAGTGGAGGGAACCTCATTTCTCACTGCTTTGAGTAACCAGGATCACAAATCAGATTGTGTTCTCCACCTTGGGTCCCTGTCAAGCACAGGCTTGTTTTTGAAACTGCCACTGCTGAACTTCACACCGTCTGTCCTAGCTGTGTCTGAAGCTGTCTTTTTGACCTGAAGACATCTGTGTTCACACAATCCCTGTATTACAGGTGTCATGCTGTAGGCTGGCCTGCAATTGGTCTTTTCCACCTCTTTATGAAAAAGTTTTATAGAATTTAATTAAAATATCTATAACTCCCCACTAGGCTTTTTGACTTTGCGGTGGAATTTAGAAGAGAATTGTGTCCCCGCTATGGAGTCTGATGAGATGGTTTATAGATGCTCGTAGGGTTTGAGTTTGGTTCTAAAGGTTTGTCAAGTAAGTCTTTAGAGCTCGCTTGTCTTTGTCCCCATTCGGTCCCTCTTTCCAGAGGATGGAAGAAGGTGCTCCCCACGTGAACCTGCCTGCCCTTTTCTCTTCTTACTTAAAAGTTTAAACCCTTTCTTCCAAGCTCTTTTTAATGCAACTTTCCAACTTTCATCTTAACCTCCTCCTTCCTAGCCCCATTTTTGCTCTTTCTCCTGAGCAGCTGAATTCCTCTGGTTGTTAATTTTTGAGGGTGTTTCTCTTTCTACTGATGTTACGTTTGTGTTTTAATGTCTCAATGGATGGGGCACTTCCTCAATGCTTATACCATCAGCTAAGGGGGGGGACTTTAAAGGAGGAGCATTGTAATAATAATAATAATAATAGAGAGCAGCCGGATTCTTCTCTCTCACACTGCTGTAACTCTGTTGACCTCCCTTGAGTTACTTGTGACTGACTTCAAGGGAACCAAGAAAAGAAATACAGCCTGCCTACATGCTAATTAGACAGAAGTTATTCAGTCGGTATTGGGTTGCTGGGTGTGGGAGGCATAGAACTGGGAGATGAATTAAGGTTAACAGAGCTATACCTGCTTGCTGAGGGCCTGGGCTGTGGGTCTGACTTCCTCACACGTACTCACTGTGTGAACTGGATGTGAAGTTCCTATTGCCTCCTGTTTAATTCATTCCTGTTTCTACGTACCTCCCAAGCATCTCCTCCAAAGAAGACTGACTCCTATTCCTGACCCCTGATGATACCGCTGGAGAACAAAGCTGTTGCCCTTTAAAATATATTACACTGCATCCAATTTCAGTTGCTTTTGTTTTTGTTTTTCAGTGCCAAAGATGATATTTCTACCTACTCTCTCCCACCCTGTTCATATCTTTCAACCAAGCTTTTATCCTCCCACTTTCAGCTTCCCAGCCTACTCTGCAGATTATGCTGTTCAAATGCCAATGAATAATGCTCCTAGGAATCTGTAATGGAGAATGGGGGATCTGTAGAACAGGGTTTGCCTGATGTTTTTCAAGAGGGAAACAAGGCTGTATCAAAACAAATCTAAAAGGCTTATGTTTAATGCACAGACCATGTAACTCTCTGGTTGGAGTTTACAGCAAAGCTCCCACTAACTTCAGTGGGGCCAACATTTCCCCCGCATTGTTTTTTGCACTTGTCACCTCATCGTTTGTGGATTGGCATGGATTAGGGTTGATAAATATCAGTAGTGATCCATCTCCTTTCCCGAGCTGGGCTGTAAAGCAAATTGCATTGTTAGTTATCAAAATCTACAGAAAAGGAAATATGTAATGACTGGCAGGGGAGCAGTGAGAACCTGGCAACTGATTTTGCTGCTGCTCCATGCTTCCATACAAATGAGAAATCAAGGAATAAAGTATTATGAAACTTGGTGACCTCCCAATCTGTTATGCATCTTGACAGTCATTGAATGTTACCCAAATAAAAAGTGACCTTCAGAAATGTGCCAGCTGAGAAAGGCCTGGCCAAGACATGAGGCTGCTACCCTCCAGTTCCCAAAGGAATCCAAGCAGACCTCCCTCTGGTGAGGTCTCTAGTGCCTTCTTGCAAGGTCATTGTTTTTCGTGGGAATTAAAGGCATGTGCTGCAGGGCTGGGTCCTTAGGATCTGCCTGGAGGCGCTAAGCATCTTGCAGTGGATTTCACTGGGAGTTGTGTTTGCTCAGGCTGAGGTAGAGGGATCTGCCTCCCCTTTATGTAATCAGGTTTGCCTGCCTTGTTCTGTGATTAGGCTGGACTTGCATGCTGCAGTGACTGTCCCTTTTAATGTCTCCCCAGCAATGTGTGGCGTCGTTGCGACCATCTGGTTCCCTGTTTGTGCTCACCGTGAGACCACCATCATGAGTTTTGGATACTCCCTTTACACCGGCTGGATTGGGTCTGCCCTCTGCCTCTTTGGGGGCTGTGTCATTGTTTGTTGCTCAGGGGATGCTCAGTCCTTTGGAGAAAACCGCTTCTACTATGCATCAGGATCTAGTTCTCCAACCCACGCTAAGAGTGCTCATGTATAAGTACCACTGAGACTTCTCAGAGCCATCATCAGATGCTTTTGCAGGTGGGCATATGTATTTGGGTTTGCTCCTCCCGTTGCACACACCACTCTCACGCTCCCAGTGGAAGAGTTAGAAAAACATCATGAGCGTCTGGAATTTTATAGCATTAACTCCCCCGCCCCGTTGCCATGAAAGAAACCTCTAGCAAGAAGAGCAGATAAATCCTCCCGTATTTTTTTTGCTGATTTTCCTACACTCTTTGTTCATGACGCTCTTGGACGGTTCCATGTTATCTGGTGGTGGTTTAGTTACTCTTTATTCCAACTCACCAGATTATGGGAGTGTTAAAGAAAAAAGATACTGTCTCACTGTTAAGAGAATTCATGTAACTTCTCAGAATGCATTACCATTGGCTTTTCCCACTCAAGGTCACTTCTTTGGCAAAGATAGGTTGGAAAGGGCAGGGAAGAAGGCTCTGTACTTTCCAACCCCACAAATGTGTTTTTTTCATAAGATTAGCGGGGTTGTTTGCTTTTCTCTGTAAATGCTTTGTTAGGAGTTTGATCATTTTGAGTAATGTTTTTCCCCAAATTCATCAGTATGAAGGAAACAAAACCCAAAGGCTCTAATTACAAGGTGAATAACAGTGCACATGTATATAGCTTTGAATGACACTGGGGCCTCTAATCCCCGTTATCCATTTTTTTTTTGTACAGATTGGTTACTAAAAAGTGTATTTTTACAGTGTTTGTTTTTTTCTTTTTTAAATTGCTTTCTTTTATTCCAATTAATTTGTGTTCTGTCTTGCATCATAAAAGTGGAACATTTTTTAACATTCAGTATAATGTACCAGTTACAAACACAATAAATTCTGGTGAATACTGATGGTGCCTTTGTATTTTAAGTGAAACATCGTACAATAAATAACAGTGTGTGTGCAAACACGGCCTTTTCTTCCTCCCTATGTGTTCCTGTAGATTTCCCTTTCATGTCATGCTTTTATTCAAATTTCCCAATGATTTTGTAGGATTTGCTTAGTGATTCTGGGAAAACAATTTTACTCTACTGTCAAATTAAACAAGACTGTTTGGTGTTCAGTACCACTTGGATATTCTTCAGGAATGATCAGAGCCCAAATGGAAGTCATGTGTTCCATGCAGTGGCGTTCACTATAGTGTGTACTCCTTGTGTTCACGTGTCTGGAACTTGGAAAACAATACACTTTAAGAGTGTACTGTGCATATACTTATCCTGGTACAAAAATGCATGTATGCTTCAGAGCCAGAAAAATACCAGTAATAGTTGTGGCTCAAGAGTGTGGAGAAGCAGGGCTGTCTGTCTGGGGAGGAGGTTATAAGGTAGACTGCAGGGAACTGAGGTAGGAGAAGGATGATGGGGAAAGGCTATCCACGTGCCACTAGTGTAGAGGTAGATCAGGGCTTCCTTGAGCCTTACTCATCTTTTCCTGGAAACTGAACCAGAATAACTTGGCTCCTGGGGCAGGATACCCTGTCATAGAAGTGGAGGGGCTGCCTATGACCATTTTCACACTTTTCATACACTGATTAGCATGGGGCCTAGGTTATGAGAGCCAGGGCTGGACTAGACTTTTCTCAAACTTTGGGAAGGAAGTTCAGACCCCAGTTCTGTTTTGGGTTGCTCTGCAAGATGGAATCAGTGCCAATGAAGTTGGCTCCCTTGGAGCCAAGCTGAAGAGAGTGTGGCTTGCGGTCATGGTATTGTGTTGCGTTGGCCCCATACTGTCCGGTGGGGAGGGGCCCTGTACAATATACACAATGTGAACTGTAACTGCACTGCTCCTTGGCAGAACACTTGTGCCCATTACATCACAGCCCGGTACAGTCGATTGTTGTATAGACTCAAGAGAAGCTATAAGTGCTGCCATTGATACGTGGGGTCCACAAAAGAATGTGTAACACACAGATGGGCAGCTTTGTGAAGCCTGGCCTGTGATTGTGGGTTGTGCATTGGCTCATGCTGCTCTATTCTGAATAGCTCCTCTTCAGATAGCCAAAAGGATTGATTGAATTTCCCGGCAAAGGCTGTTTGAATAGTAACCTGCAAACAAGCCTGCTGGGCTGAGAGAGAAGAAAATGCAGAGGTATGCGGTAAAGTGTTTGAACAGAGCTGCCATTCAAATTGCATTTCCTCCCCCACTCCCCCATGAATAAAAATGTTTCTAGGATTTTTTTAAGTCAGAAAAGGATCAAAATATATGAGTAGGCAGCTGTGTCCTGGGGAACCCTGTCTGGGTTTTGCGATGCAGGTTGCAGCATTAGTGAAACGATGGAACTTGGAAGCTGGCTAGAGGCGCTTAGCGAAACCTTCATCTTGTGGCCGGGGGCTTTGCCTTGTCCCTCCCATGGGAGGTCTGAGGAGATGTGTTTCCTTGAGGATTAGTTCTCAGGGCCTTGGAGGAGCCCATGAGTTGCCAGTCTGCCCCTCCAACAATGCTAAACTGGAAAAGTCCTTGTGTCAGCATCTGCAATTTGAGCTGGCCCCAGCACAGGTGAGACAGAGCTATAGGGAGAGATGCCCATCTTCCTGCCCTGTAGGGGATGGCTGCAGTCTGGCCTGACATGTCTCTTGGTTTTTACTCTTTGTTTCATGCTGCTCCATCCTTCCTGCAAAAGTGCAAAGCCCCTTCTGCATCCTCCAGGCACCTTTTTGATGGGTTCCCACCTGGCCTGCTTGAGGCACATGCCTGTGTATTACCTCAGTCCCACTGCTCTGTGGTACCAATTGTGACCCACAGTTCTCCATGCAGGTGTCTGTCAGCCAAGATGTCTGGGTGCTATTCCTGGCTTATTGGATAAATTGGCTGGTGACTTGCATCCCCTGTAAAATGGAGACTACGTAAGGTGGCTGTGTGAGGACATCACATGAAATCCAGGCATTCTTCTTCCCTTTGAGTACAGATAAGTTTTGCTTTGTTTGCAGCAAGCCCAAATGCATGCTGCCAGCAGAGTTACAGCTGGACGTCAGAAGGTTCTGTGCTTTCACCTACTCTTAAGTTTTAGCAAAATACAGAGCCATAGCAGTAGTGACACATGAAAGGTTCTCCTTGAAGATCTGACATTCAGAAATCCCCTGCCTGCAAAAGCTTTTAGGCTCCAGCCAGCTCTTGTTTTGATAAATAGCTGTTTGAATGTTGTCCAGTTTCCTTCACTCATATTAGACTACAAGACTATCAGTAGCAACTTCTTAGAGCTCTTAGTAAAATATATGGCAGAACTGTGCAGTCAGATAGCTCCCTGGGGTGCTCTTTGGGCTCAGTGCTGTGTCAATCTCTCCTTCACATCAATGCAAGTGTCATTTCTGTCTTAGACTTCCATTTAGTTGAAGCCTCAGTCTCTCATCCGTAAGAACTGCTTTAAGGTAACCATCTCAGGAAGACCCACAGCCTGAGAGTGCAGGAGTTTTATCAGTCCCTGTGGTGTTGGTGCACAAAAGCAGGTCAGTGTTTATTTTTCCAGAGCCTGTCTCATGGATTCTTATCTTCTTCCCTGAGCTCATCATCTACAGGCAGAGTGAAAATCTTGCCCTTGGGCCTCTTTTAATTTTCACTGCAGATAGAAGCTGTGAAAGGGATGGTTTCCATTAAAAACTGATCCATTTTTTAAATCCACAGGGTTTGGCTTCCTCCAGGACTGAGACCGAACAAAATGCAGTTTCTACACCCGGGTTGGGATTCCCTGGCTGCAGAGTTCAGAAGTGTCTGGATCTAGCCTTTGGGAGGGGATATTTCTAGTAGATATGTGGAAACATTATCCTCAAACCACGGTTTGTCTCCATTTTCAGGCTTTATGACAGATGCCAAAGTGGAGCCCAAATCACCACTTGAACAAACCTTGGAGGCATGGGAAGCCCATGATGAATTTTTGGTTGGAAGTGAGGGGTACAGGAGAGGTAGAGGAGTTTGGAGGGGAGCCAAGCTCCATTTCAACTTCTGAAAGCCAGTTTAAGGCTTGTAGATTATTCCAAAATTCATCTGGAGGACGGGGTGAATGTGAGCCCACCCACATGGGAACTTTGTTGGGGGTCCCAAGGCAAGAAGGGAGCATTCAGTTCCTTGAGGTCCAGAACTACTGTTCCCCCTCCTCCCCTCCTTGCTTTCTCCTCAGCTCTCACCAGGAGACACGCTCTGGTCAGTGCAATGGGCTGCCTCTGCATTTTCTTGGGTTACAGGTTGAGGATGTTTGATTCCAGATCAAATCCATAAAAGACCCCAGGGAGGCTGTTCTAAGGAAGGAAGAACGTTTATTTCAGGAAAGGAAAAGAAATAGTCAAAGTAAAAATAGGAATCTCTGTAAACTTCAGTGCACAGTGTGAGCTATAACCTGCCAAATGCTTTGCAGGATATTAGTGCTGGCTGCGGTGAAGGGCCAGCTTTTGGAGGGAGCACAAAGAACTTCAAGCTCTTCATTTTTAAAGGATCAGAGCACAAATACCTGTTTATCACATTTCTAAAACTAGCTGCCTGCAGGACTGCCTAGATCCTGAACACCACTGGCCTGTGTACGATGGAGATGGCCTTTCAGGAGCATTTGTGGCTCTGGAGGACTTTGGCTCTTGTTCACAGAGTTAAAACCTCAAAAGAGTGTAAAATGTAATTCTCCTGGGTGGAAATAGAGCCCTATATCCTGTGTAACATCAGCTGCAGAGCTGGGCAGGTTACACAGCTGGAATTTCTCCTGGCTTAGCACAGAAATACATTAGGGTGCTATGGCAAGCCTTCAGTCAGCACTAGTAGGAGCAGGAGCAGCCTGATTGTCCTGGAGATAAAGAGCAGCCTAGTGTTCAGAGCACTTGAGAAACCTGGACTCAGGTTATGATATCTCTATGTGGCTTCCTTCCCCACCTGAAAAATGGTGAGAATAGAACTTCCTTACCCCACAGGGGTGTCGTGATGGTAAAATACTTTCAAGGCTGTGAGGTGCTCAGATATTACAGCAACCAGGGGACTGTGTCAGCACCTAAGATTGAACAAATGGTTCACCTGCCCTTCTTTAATAGACCTGCTCTACTTACAATGACCCATTCCTGGACAAGCTCCTCTTTTAAGTTTGTGATCTACAGTAGAGCCCAGTGCTGTATTCTTCCCATGTTCAGAGCTCACATTAAATCTGAGTCTCCACAAACCCATCAACTCAGATTCTTCCACTAAGGTTTAATCAGTTCAGAGGTTCACCATCCTAGCAAGCAAAATAACACTGAGTCAAATAAAAATCATTCCTGTTGTCAATGCCTTAATAAAACAATCATAGGCTGACTGGCCAGGAGAGGCCATAGTGCAGTAGGTCACTTGGACGCTAGCTGGAAAGACTTGCTCAGGAATATTAAGCAAATGGAGAATATATGATGTAGAAAGCACATAACAGGGCAAATACAAATGGAGTGAGGAAGGAACATACTTCCTCTTTATTTTACAAGAGGCTAGTCTTTTTATCTATAGGAACAGTGTGGCTTTCCTGACAGTTCTAAAATTGAACTTTGCAATAAACCCTCCAAGATCTCTTATCAAAAGCATTAGCGAATAAAAACAGTGCAACATGGATTGAGAGTGACTGGACTCTGGGGTAGTTGCCAGTAGTTATAGATTAGTGCTACCCCCACTCCAGTAAAAGTTAGAGATGACAAAGCCAAGTCCAAAGAGGGGTCCTGGTTGAAAAAGAATGGATGTGCCTCCATGAGACAGGGGAGCAGTGGAAATCCTTCAAATTCTCACCCACAATAATGCCTGAAACCATTAAGCAACTGAAGCATCATATCAATTGTATTGGTGAGCAACAAGTAGGTTGGGAACACAGGAGACCATTGCGGCAATGTTTTCCTTTGGAAACGTGTCATTTTATTTATTTATG